TTAATAATGCTGCATTACATCTCACATCGACTTCGGCCACAGTGATCCTGTATCACACGTTTTATTTCGGCTCCGGCCATTATGACTCCGGTCATTATATTTTATTATGGCTCCGGCCATTTTGAATCCCATTTTTATATTTAAGCCTAACTCAGCACTTCTGTTTACTTATACAATTGCACTTTTAAACTGGCAGTGATTTACTTCGGCTCCGGCCATAAAGACATGTTCTACTTCGATCCTGCTTACTGTGACCACGTGTCACATACTCTCCTTCGGCTCCGGCCATTATGACTCCGGTCATATTTTATTACGGCTCCGGCCATTATGACTCCGATCATTATATTTTATTACGGCTCCGGCCATTATAACTCCGGTCATCATATTTTATTGTCGCCCTGGCCTCTATGACTCCAGTCACCATTTTTTATCATAATCTTGATTACACTGTGACTTTGATAATCACTTTTTCCTGTAATTACGGCCACTATGATTCCGTTCATCACCTTTTACTATGATTACGACCATGTTAACTCCGGTCATTATTTTTACTACGGCCACGGCCATAATAGCCCCGATTATATTTAAGACACCCCCCGTGTAATCCACTGTTATCATTCACAAGTGAATGACTTCGAGGGGGGAATAGTGTAAGGACAGGTCCGAGGTGCCAAGCCTCGGACTACTACAGTAATTCCTTTATGACTGAAGTGAGGAATAAGTCCAAAGCTTCCCGCTCAATTAGCTGCATTACAATGACAATAGGCACGCCCGCATCTGATTCCTTATGATGAGTGGCACAGCAAGTATGGTGGACGCTCGTGCATCTAAATACTTCTCAAATTCCCGGTTCTGAAATAATCGTCTGGATGGACACGTTAAGGTCTGATTATCTTGCTTGGCATGACACGGGGGTTCCTCATTGGATCCTATAAATACCGCCGGGCCACGTCAAAAAGGTAATTGAAACCAACCCTAAGCTCTTTTTATCTCCGCCTTAAAGGTAACCCCGATTATTGCTGATTTAAGCATCAGAGTGTCTACCCGAGTTCCATCTCGGGGTTTTGCAGGTCAGTTCGGAGTACAAGCACGGACTGAAGAAGGACTTCTGGTTTGGTGCAATTACAGATCTGTTTGCAACGCCTGAATCAAGGAGGAAGTCCTTAGATTATACTCTGCAAACTCCGAATCTTGTACCAAAGCTCGTGCCTTCTTCTTCATCGCTGGAAGTCCTTTCCGATGATGCTATTTTGCCGAATCGCTGTTCGAGAAAACCCAGAGAAAGACCCAGAGCTCGTGCCTTCTTCTTCGTCGTCGAAAGTCCTTTCCGATGATGCTATTTTGTCGAATCGCTGTTCGAGAAAACCCAAGGAAAGACCCAGAGCTTGTGCCTTCTTCTTCGTCACTGGAAGTCCTTTCCTTTTCACTTCTGCAAACCCAGATCTGGGTCTTCCTCTATCAAACCCAGATCCATCTACAACGCAAGAATCAGGGATTAGATTTTGCTCTGCAAACTCCGAATCTTGTAACCCCATAACATGAATCGTGGCCCATATTATTTTCAACCCAAAGAAGTCCTATCATCAAGCCCAATCCTCTCTGCAAGTAGACATACACTCGCTGAAATCGACCCAGAAATCGTAGCACCAGCCTTTGTTGCCCGTGATTCCCCATCCTGATGCCATCTCCCTCCTTGTCTCCGGTAAATCGTACCAATTACAATGGCACCGAAGTGATGAGCTTTTCTGATTAACACAGATGAACAGAGGAGAGGAATGTCGCACAGACTTGAAGATATTGATGCAATTACCAAAATGCCAGTAAGAGTTCAAGTAATGACCTTTGGTTGTTCAGGACCGGGCCGGTTTCGGGTCCTGTGAGCAAGACAGCACAGAGCCAGACTGAACTAATTGTGAACGATGTGATATCGAAACCAAATTTATATGATGAAAACCCAGATCTGGGTTTGAGAGAGAAGAAGAAGAAGGCTGACGGCAGTAGTAGCAAAAGGTTTGGCGTGAACGATGACAAGATTGAACAAGGCACTGTCACCTAGAGGAACGAAGAAGTGATCGAGCGTCCACTCCTGATCTGGGTTTGCAGAAGAAAGGGAAAGGAAAGGTGAAGGAGAGAGAGTGAAAGGGGAAGAAGA